TTTTTCAGAATTTTTTCAGAATTTTTTAATACCGGATTTTCATGATGGTAAAAATAAGAAAATGCAGTACTAAAAAGTTGATAAAAAATTCTGAAAAAATTCTTAGAGTTCTATGAGAAGAAAATAAACAAATTTTGTCTCTTGCAGTTTTTTTTGTAAAATTGATAGTATTTGAGAAAAAAATTATTGAAGACAAATATTCGGCAATTTTTAGTAATTAATATCTTGTTAACTATTGCGAAAATTACAAAATAGTAGAGACTTTTCGACTCAGTTTAGTCCGCTCTACCTGCCCACGAGCGTTGTCAGGTGAGTTATGGGATACCCTCCCAGTGAGAAATGACAATGGAATCGACATCGAATTGATGTCGATTCGACGTCAAATCGACGTCGATTCGACATCGATTCCATTGTTATTTCTCACTGGGCTGTGTAACTATAAATGCCGAAACGGCTATTGACGATAAGACATCATAATTTGATTGAAATGTTATTAGATTGCCGCTGAAATATTTGATATAATCGGCAGTGTTATATGATAAGTAATATTAGTGCTTTTGATGTATTCCATGAATTTAGAGATATAAGCATTTCTGAGATATAGGCAATGAAAATATTTATTATTTCTAAATATGTAATTTCTATATCATATAATATAGCTATTAGTTTGATCTATTTATTTTGATACTGTTTTTGCCGCATCTGTTATTCTGTGCGCTGTAGCCATTGATTAATTTCAATTTTCTTTTCGTCATTAACCTTTTTTTCAAATTTTATTTTTTTATTTTTGATATTTCTTTTTGCCTGGAGAATGATCGACCTAAGAATGGAATATTCCTTGCGCGGCAAATCAATTCACGCATCGTGCCTTCGAATAATTAGAAAGTATCTCTTGTATATTCTTAAACAACGTGTTATATATATATAATATACATATACATTTTACATAAACATATATATACACATAGGATATAATATGTTTTAATATACTTATATCAATTATTATTATATCAATTATTATCTGTTCTTCATTTCAAAAGAAAAATATGTTGATTAAAAGCTTCGTAGCTAGAAGAAAATATATAATTATGATTTTTTCTTAATTAATCGATTTGTCTCATTCTATGTATAATAGTCAGTTATTAAAGACAAACTTATTAAAAAATAAGTATTTTACAAGGTATTTCATATTTTATATAAAAATATGTCAGAACAAAATATAAAATATGAAATATCTTATAAACTATGAAAATTTAGTGGCTTTATTTTAATATTTTTTTACATTTCGGTCTAAAAAAATTGATTTATGTAAAAGTTATTAAAAATTATCCAAAATTTATGTAAATTAAAAAACATTTTATATAATTATTGAAACTTATACAAAAAAATCAAACGATTATCTTAAAAAAATATGACGTTAAGATTTGATAAAATATAAAAAATTAATGATATGCATCTAATATTCTTTCCCCAAAAGTATGAAATTTTAAAATCTAAAATTATAAAGTTTAAAGTATGAAATATTTTTTCTAAAGCAAGAAAAAACGAAATAATTAAGTTGATACATTAAAACGATCCACCTGTGAGTATATACTATATATATATATACATATGTTTCAATATGTTGATAGATTTATATATAAAAACATTAATAACCCTGTATATATAGAGTAGGATAATATCGCGCAACTGCGGTTTCTATTTTATTATCCTTGTAACGTCTCTCCTTTTCCTTCTCTGTCCCTATCTTTTTCTTTCTGGATGATTAAAGATTATTATTACCATTATTAGTAATACCATAATTATGGCGATATTTCATTGTATGGAATTATAGTATAGGTAAATCATAGAAGTATATGTTAGATTTCGACATTAATGTATGTGGGGTGTCTCAAGAAAAATGCCTCTCAGTTACGATTGAATATTTCAAATCAAAGAAGAAAGATTATTCAACACATGTAAAATGCCACTTTAAAACATCCTGGAAAGGCAGGACAAGAAGTGATCTGTTTTAGAAACGTTACCATTACAAAATAAATAAATATCAATGAAATAAATGAAAGCTGGAATTTAGCTGCACGCAATTTTCTAATCGACTTTTGTGATTGACTTTATTTTGATCTTGTCAATTATGTTAATAACGAGCTGCTCGCATTAATTAAAAGGCGCATCTGACTGCCCGCATTAATTAAAAGGCGTAACGTTTGTCAATAGCGATCATCTTATAGAATATAATGCAAAACAAATCATTTTCCTCTTAGTGCTAACAAGTACTTTTTTATCACTACTTTAAAGAAAACTTAATTTTAATCAGGAATAAAAATTATTTTAATAAGGTGAAAGATGGAAATTTGTAATGAAATCCCAACTATGAAATAAATCGTTAGCAGAAAGCATTGCTTGTAATTTTTAATTTGAAAGCAATCGATTGAATTTGATAATTTCGTAATGACAGGAAGAATTAATTAGAAAAAATAGAATAATAACAATGAAGGAGAAATTTTCCTGGAGTTGCGGTATTTTAAGCGGCACCCTGCACATAAGTCTCGCGTTTTATTATCATATACGGTGTACGGTAATATTAGACTAAAACTGTCAGAAGCGATATTAATTATGGTGTGTAATATAATAACTAACTTACAATTAGTTGAATTGGTGTGTCAATTTCTGCGCTCTAATTCACGTCTTTTCGGAGTACGTCCAAGTTAAGACTTATCTATTTTTTCATTGCAGCCATATTGAATTATTATCCACACAACACAGTTTTGCAAAGGACATAAAAAAAATCCAGAGAACGTGCTACGACTTAAATATTCTCAGGACTTTCCTCGGAGAACTGTGTTGTGTGAGTAATATTAAAGATAAAAAATCAGTTTTTTTAAAATAAATTTTTGACAGTTAAAAGAGATTGATTTTTTGTATGTCATCAGTCGTGTTCAAGTATAAATTAGTGAAATATATCAAGAAGTTTCGTTTTTCTTATGCTGCACATTAGTATAATATAATTGTTCATATATATATATATTTTTTTTTTTTTTTTTTTTTTTTTT